GCCATGTCTTTTGCAAACAGTGATTGATATTTTTATTTATTTTCCAATTTGTATTCCTTTTATATCTTTCTCTTGCCTTGCTTAAGCTAGGACTTACAATACTACATTGAAGAATAGTAGGTAAAGTGGACATCTTTGTCTTGTATATGATCTTAGTGAAAAAACTTTCAGTTTTTTACCATTGAGTATGATGCTAGCTGAGGTTTTATCATAGATGGCTTTTATTATGCTGAGATATATTCTTTCTAACCCTTTTTATATATTTTTTAATTTTATAAAAAAGAATGTTGAATCTTTTGAAATGCTGTTTGACTTTGAAACAGCCTCTACACCTGTTGATATAATCATATGATTTTATCATTGTTATTGTTGATTTGGTGAATTACATTGATCAGTTTTGTGATATTGAACTATCCTTGCTTCCCTGAAATAAATCCCACTCTGTCATGATGTATCATACTTTTAATGCATTGTTGAATTTGGTGTGCTAGATTTTGTTCATTAGTGGTATTAGTGTAATCTTCTCTTTCTCCTTGTCCCTCTCCTTCCTTCCTTCCTTCCTTCCTTCCTTCCTTCCTTCCTTCCTTCCTTCCTTCCTTCCTTCCTTCCTTCCTTCCTTCCTTCCTTCCTTCCTTCCTTCCTTCCTTCCTTCCTTCCTTCCTTCCTTCCCACTCTTCTCTTCTTTTTGATAACTTTATCGGCATTTGGTAGCAGAATAATGTTGACCTCATAAAATCTCTCAATTTTTTGGTAGAGTTTGAGGATCAGTGTTAGTTAATCTTTGAAGGCTTGGTAGAGCTTACTAGTGGAACCATCTGTTCCTGGACTACTGTTTGTGGGGAGACTTTAGATTTCTTTGCTTGTAATTGGTCTGTTCATTTCTATTTCTTTCTTTTTCAGGAGTCTCCATATACTAGAGGTTTTCCTAGCCATAAACATGAAATCTCTCTCCATTTATTTAGTTCTTATTTGATTTATTTCATGAGGGTTTTATAGTTTTCTTCATATAGGTCTTGTACATATTAAGTTAGATTTATAGCTATTTCCTTTTGGGGGTGCTAATATAAGTGGAGTTGTGTTTTCCCTCCTTTACACTTTATTGAAGACAAGAGGGAGCTGGAGTTGGGTGTTTCCCTTTGCCCAGCTTGGTTAGGCTTTGGTAAGCTCCAGTTGTTTAGGTTCTGATAAAATAGTTTCCCTTGAGGAAAGAACTTGTTAAGAATAGAGAGCTCTGGGAGTAATTAAAAATTGGTTTCTTTTACTGTTAAAAGCTATAGGGGATTTTTCTCAGATCTTAACAGTGAGAATCTGTTGGGGTTCCTAGAAATAAAACTCAGGAAATTTGTGGGACTTTCTAAGGCTGAGTCCTCTTGGAGATTTTAACTCTCAAACTAGTCCACACAGAGTCTGCCATATTTCCTCACTTAAACTTTAAAGCAGTCCTAGTCATATTGGCTCCAGTTGTGATGTTGACTTCAGCTGCTGGTTTCCAGTCCTGGTAAACCATGGTCCTTTGGTAAGCTGTGATTCTCCATAACCACTGTCTGTCTCTCCAGTTGTGGGGGCAGCAGTTTGCCCTGTGACCTCAACTATCCGGATTTGAGAATGGTTGGATTTAAGACTTATTGGTTTTCAGTTTGTTCAGTTTTTCTTCTTCTTGTGCGATGGGAGTGACAACTTCCAAGTTCTTTCTAAGTTGGGCCGGAAAAATCCCTCAGCATTCTTTTGTAAATTTATGCTTAAAATATCTATAACTGAAAAGTTAAATTTTCAGTCAATTCATGTTTTCTATAAACTCAGATAAAACACACACATTTTCTGTTTTCATCTTTAAAAGAAAAAAGATTTTAATGTAAGTTATCTTCTAATCACTTTCCTTCAAATTGATGTGCTTTTTTGGTTACTGTTGTTATACATAGGTCAAAGAGAAGAGGAACAATATAAAGGGTAATAATAAAGCAGCAATCACTTATTGACTACTACAGCTTTTATATAGTTTGATATATTTGGGATTATCCACATCGGTTATGTTTCACTCTTTAAAAGCTTAAGTACTTTATATTATTTAGTAATTATCCATATTTCAAATTTAACCTTTCTTCCTCCTGAATCACTGCCCAACTTTCTACTAAATATGGGTTAAGTATCAACCAAGTCATTTGCAAGTAATTTTTCAGTCTCATTAGAAAGTTCTGCAAAGTGATTTCAAATGAAATTTGGACACTTACAAAGATTAGAAATGAGACAGCTCAATAAAATTTACTCATATTTTAACAACCTAAATTCATCTATTAATAGGTGGTAGTAAAGAAAATTATTTAAAGTTTTATCACATAGAAAATTTGCTCTTTAGGATTCTATTATTTAACAAGGATTGATTGAATTAGAAAATACTATTTGGTTCCTTTGTAATTAAGCATACAGCATACTTTATAAGGTTTGGTTCAACATAACTGCTTCCATGTTCATATATGTATGTATATATATATCATTTATTCATTTTTGCTAAGGAAAATTTAATTTGGGGGCAAATTTAATGAATGTTCAAAAATATCTCCTGCTGATTGAATTATCCTTCTAGTTCTAAGTTTTGAAATGTTAAGAAACTTAAAAATGAATTAATTTGCTATTATAAAATGCTCATTTATGTCATAAACATTTTATTCTTTAGCTATAATCATAGACCAAAGAATTTTTTTTATAAATATAATAGAAAGAAAATGATTAAAGATCTTTGCAACCATGCTCATATATGAGGTGGGTACTCTGTGAGCTGTTTGAAAGTTGAAAATAGAGAGTATATGTAAATTTATATTAACATAATTGGCATTTTTGGATAGTTGAAAGTGGCTAAACTGTGGCAGAAGCCCAAGTAATTACTGCCAGAAGCAGCACATACTTTGGGGTTACAAAAATAAGATAATGATAACAAGCCCAGCAACAATACTAACATGTATTGATTGCTGACAACATGTTAGATATTGTTCTAAGTGCTTTGTATGTTATATCTTATTTAACCACGCCATAGACACATTTGAGTAAACCAAGGCACAAAGAGGTTAGATGACTTGTTAGAAATTGTCAGAACCTGTATTTAAACTTACTCTTGACTCTGGTGCCAGTGTTCTTAACACTGAGTTTTCAAAATACTAAATTAAAAGTCTTGTTATTTTTTATGCAATTAAAAAAACAATCATTGTTTTGGGTTCATTTCTCTTTTTAGGCATTTCCCATTTTTTTTTAATAGCACGTTATTTAGTGTTGTAGATCTGAGGGTGGGGAGTAAAAGTAGAACCACTCTTTACGCATATTTGTATGGGTCTACTGATCAGTTTAAAAACAGGTACTTTGTGAGTCACTTGTCCTCTTATCAGAGTTTAATGCTATGTTATCTAGACCATTGTTTTACAAAACAATATAATTGAAATCTACAGGTATCCACATTAATATTCAACCCAAAGCTACATTGTAACACTATAATAAGACAAAGGTGAGAAGTGAAAGAATCTAGTGTCAAGTAAAGTATGTATAATCCTTTGTTGAGCTCAAAATATTTTTTAAAAACATTTATTAGACTAATGAGGGCTTCTCTGGTGGCACAGGGGTTAGAGTCTCAGGCTATCAGGCTATCACCAGCCACTGCTGCCTGAGTTCCATCCTAGCCAGGGAGCTAACCCACAAGGCGCAGCAGACCTCTCCTATCTTGCCAGATGCTCCCCTCAACTGTGTATTTCAGTAGATCCCCACTCTGTATCTGGTGAATCCCTGCACCTCTGGCCTACACCCCAGTTCTATGCATAAATGAATAAATATTAAAAAAATTAATGAAATTGAAAGGTATGCTTCTACATTCGAAAAGAGATGTCTTTATTCTGTAGCTTGCAAAGTCATGTCAGCAAACAGACAATACGGGCTGTCACCATACACTCTGCTCAGGAATCCCTCCTTCGCGTCCAGACTCAAGTCAAGGAGGTCAGTCTCAAACTAAGCGTCACCTTCCTCTTTTTCCAAACCAATCAAAGATTATCTTTAGCTCTTTTGAGAGCCACAAGAGAGTAAATATAAGTCTATGGAAATCCATTTTTTCCTATACTTTCCCTGAAATTGAGTTTTATGCTCTTTTATTAAAGTCACTTATACCGATTGTAAATGCTACCATTAACTTTAGCTATTTCAGATTTCCTTTCTACCTTCAGTACTTCCCTCACAGGTTTACAGCAAGAGTTTGTTTTGTACTTTTTAAATTTGGATTTGTAATCAAACTTCATCACAGAAAAATCTAGTGTACCAGGAGCCTACCCTTGAGTTCTCTGGCAAAGAGTGTGGTCGGTGACACAGACCATGGTTAGGTAACCCGACAAGAAAGACCCCATTGTAATACAGCCTAGCGAAGGGACAATTTACTGCCACGACTGGAAAAGTCTGCTTTTTTTTTTTTTTTTGAACTGGGACTCAACAGAGCTGGCAGCAATCCTACACAGCACTGCCGCCGAGAAGAAGGAGTGCGGAAGACTTAGTGCACAGAAAGCAGAAAATGTGATGCAGCCTCTGGGACCCCCAAACGAGATCCATTCTCGGCAGCGCCTCCCAAAGCCAGCCGCAGCCTTCCCTAGGAGAAGGCACAGCGTCCAGGCTGGCCACGGCCCAGCTCCTTTCTCCTCCCTCCGCAGCAGCACACAGACCAGCACGTGAGCGCGTCCCAGCTGTGCCTCAGCTGACCGCCCCCTGATTGGCTCGGAGCGACGTGGGCTGGGGTGGGGCCTGGCCGCCTGCGTCGCTCCCCATTGGTCCTCGAGGAACCCGCCTCCCCCTCAGGTGAGGCGGGTTTGCAAGAGCGCGCGCCGGGTCCGCGGGCGGGCGCGCCCCCGAGCGCGCCTCCGCCCTCGCCCGCCGCCTGCCGCTGCTTGAGCTCCTCAGAGCACAGAGCCGCCTCGTCTGAGGGGACGCGAGGATCGCCCTCCCCGCCGCTTCGGGCCGGGCCCTGACAAGCCGCCCGAGCAGAGGCTCTTCGGAGCCGGACCTGGACCCCGGCCGCTGCCGCCCGCTCCCCCTGCCGCTGGCCTCACGAGGGCTTTCCCGCCTCCCGCCCCCACCTCTGGACGTGCCGCTCCGCTCTCCGCGTGTGGAGGGAGCCTGCGCTTAGGCCGGAGCAGCCTGGGGGCCTCCGGCGTCGAAGGCTTCGCGGGGACCGATTCGCCATGGAGGGCGCCGGCGGCGCGAACGACAAGAAAAAGTAAGCCCGTTCCCCCCGTTCCTTCCGCCGCCGCGTTCCCCGCCGGCGGCTCCGCCCGGGGCTCGTGGGCCGGCCTGGGCGTCCGCGGGGGGTGGGGGGCGCCTTTTTGTTTCTCTCTCCCCTCCCCTCGCTTTCCCCCGACCTCGCCGGCGGGGCTCCCCCTCTGTCCACGTCGCCATCTTGTCGTAGGGGGTGGGAGACCCATCGAAAGTGCTTTCAGGGGCCGGGGGCTGAGCGCTGGCCTCGCTTCCCCCGCGGCCGCCCAGGCCTCGCGCGCCCTCCCTGGCCTCGCGCGCCCTCCCTCTCCGCCGCTGGAAGGAACCCTGCGGGGTGGCGGGTGGCGGGTGGTGGGGTGCGGGCGGACTTCCCCTCGCTTGGAAACCCCGGGAACTGAAACGAGCTGCGGCTCCGTCGCCGCGGTTGGCACCCGAGCTGCAGTTCCTTCCCGCCCCCATCCTCTCCGGTTCCATTGAAAACTCGGCCCCGGGGCGGACCCCGCGCGCCGGTCCTGGCTGCCCTGTGGGCCCCCAGGCCCCCCGCTTCCCGGCCGAGAGGCTCGCGTGGTCCGCGGCGGGCTCGCCCCGCGCCGGTCCGGCCGCGGCGGGTGTGTTTGCCTTTGTGCGTTGGGGCTTTGCCTGGATGTACCTGCAGATGTGAACTTTTTTTAATTTGCACGTGCAGGTTTTGTTTTGTTTTAATCGCCTTGAAAAACTTGCCTAGATTGTCAGTCGGAGTAACGGGAATGTGGAGAAACAGCAACATTTTAAATAGAACATCGGAATTAGATGCGTGTGATTCTATCATCTGTCAAGAGAGCCCAGGCTATGTTCTAAGTGCAAATCTGCCTCGTTCATTTTTGACAATATTATAGTGTAAACATAGCGACTGACTAAATTAACCAAGCCATTTTAATGAGATTGAAATGAAAGTATGTGAGACGAGTAAAGGAAGCCAACGCTAAAATACTGTAGAATTCTAGACTTCTTATTTTCCTGAAATTGAAACATGTTAAAAGAAAACCTTCAGCCTATATCCGAAATAATCATTGTTAGAACTAATGCAAGTCGTGAAAACACCTTGAAGTTGGAGTCTAAGGGGTACTTTATAGGAACTGTGAATTCAATCAGTGGGATCCAGGGATTCCCTGCCACCGCACCCCTTCCCCCCTCCCCCAATACACACTCAATTTGATCCATTTTGGTAGTTTGAGGAAATCTTTTTAAGGAATTGAAGATGTATAGTAAGAGTTGTGGTTGGTAGACTGGCTTTACTGTTCAGTCCTTCCACTCTGCTGGTGGAGATTAACTTCCCTAATCAGTTATCAGTAGACGATAAACTTGTTTATGTTCTTGCTATTTTGTAGGTCTCTTTTTGTTCCTTCTTATAGTCCCAGTTTGTAGAAGCCAGAGAAAGCACTTGTAAAATTCAAAAAGTGAGTAAACACATCTAGATAGAATTCCAGGAGTTGCCAAGAACTAATTGCAATTAATTTTGTAGACGTGATTGCAATGCTTTTGATAAAATGGGACTACTAGATTGTAAATCTAAAGCAGATGATCTCTGTAGTGCCAGTTTTCTGTCCTTAATTATATGCTGAATCATACTTAATACTGTGCATCAAGTTATGCACCAATCACTTCCTTTTTATATGTAGTGTTGTAGTTATTTCTCCTTTGCAGTTCGTCAGTCGAAAATACTATAAACAGCTTTAATATAGATGAATTAACTAGATAGTGTGCATCAGCCCCAGTTTTTAAATTAGCATTTAGTTTATCCCATCATTTGTTTCCCATTTTCTCATTTGAAAATTTACCAAATGTGTGTCAGATTTAATGGTAGCTCTTAATATAAAGATTTTCATTGAAATATTGGGGTAGACTATAAATGGTGGCTGCTCAGCAACTTTTAGATGTTTGTTCAGTGTCTGGTTTTTATAATTAAAGAATTATAAACTTTTTGAAAACTGAGAGGTTGAGGAGCAGTGATTTTGTCCTTGGAATTTTCCATTTTAAATGAACCTTCAAGAGTCCAAGTGGGGTAGATAAACTTGTCTTTTTAAAAGAAAGTCTAGGAAACTAAAAAGCTTAAAAGATCAGAAGAAATCAGAACAGAGAATTAGGTGTATAATTATAATAGATTTAGCATAGCACATTTCATGTTAATTCCTCAGTGGTAGGGACTGGATTTAATGCTGTAGATTTTTAGATTTCAAAGAAATTTTAGGCGGTTCATTGTTATGTTTCAATTTTCAAGCTAAATTCCTTCAAAGATTTTCAAAACAAGTAGTTTTGTATCATTAAAGTAAAATCTCTGAGAATGGACATCCCTTAACTTCTTTATTTAACTTTGGTCATTAAAAATCGAGGTTCTCTCATTTATTAGTGAATTTTTTTTCTTGTTACAGTTTTACTTTGATTTTGCTCTTATTTGAAGAAGCTCATAGTATCTCCAGCCAGATACTTGTGAGTTAGAGTTCATTTTCTCATTTATTGCATTTTAAGTTTGGGCAACTTACTGACTGCTTCTGAGCCTATTTCCTTCCTTTGAAATGATGATAATAATAGCACCCATCTTAGCTGGTATCATGAAGATTCAGTGAGATAATGTCCAGGGACTGGTTTAGGAGTCTTGGTAATACTGTATACTTGAAATTGGCATTATCTGTTAAAATTCTGGTTTAAATTTCTACAACACTTAAAAACTTGCTTCAAGTCTTTCAAATACTTTTAGATTTTTGTCTCCTCCCTCTTTGTGCATCTTTTCTATATCCTTAAAAAATGAAGACTGACATGGAATTCAAAGCTTTGAACTTTTTTATTTTTATTTATTTATTTATTATTTTTTTTTTATAGAGGCATGTTTTATTTATTTGTTTGTTTGTTTGTTTTGTTTATACATGCACTGGGTACAGTCAGAAGCGCGGGAGGGTGAGAGAATTCACCAGAGCCAGAGCGGGGAGCAGAGCAGGCAGAAAGACCGAAGCACACTGCTGAGGGGAGCAGTGGGCGGCAGGAGAGGTCTGCGTGCCATGTGGGACCCTCCTCAGGTGGCCGGGGAGCAGCAGGGGATCGAACCGGCGCTGCAGAGGTCGCTGGCAGCTTTGCAACCCAGCGCTCAACCGCTGCGCCACCAGCGAGGCCCTTTAAACTTTTTTAAAAATTGTTTTTGTATAGAAGAACTGGAGTGTAGGCTGGAGGTATGGAGGGTGAGAGGATTCACCAGGGACAGAGTGGGGAGCCGAACAGGTGGATTTACTGAAATACACTGCTAAGGGGAGCAGTGGCAAGACAGGAGAGGTCTGCTGCTCCATATGTGGGTTTGTTAGCTCTCTGGCCTGGGATCTAACTCAGGCCATACCTGTTATAGCAGTGATACTTAACCCTTAGGCCACCAGGGAGGCCCTGAATTCAAGCTTTAAAAAAAGAGGTTCTTTTTAGTTAAAACAATACTTCCCTTGGTAATGCTGACATATCTAATGTCATTTAGATCAGTGCTCTTTGTGAGCATTGATCTACTGGCTAACCACCTTTTGCAATTTCCTACCCCTTTATTTCCTCCCCAAATAGGCCACACAGTATATTTAACCTGGACTCTATATAGATTAGAGTCGTAAACATACAGTAGTCATACAGTTCATTTCAGCACAGTATGTGCAAGGCACTGTAGTCTTAGGACTGGCAGTAACATTTTTTTGTCTTAATCCTACAGTTTAGAGTAGACAGTTTTATAAATATTAATCTTTGCTAAGCCTGATGTGTTGATGAAATACTCTCAGTAAAACTCTACCTACATGGTAGAAAAACTGCCCTCTGCTTATGGATTTCTTGAGAGTTAATACCATTGGCTTCCAGCTTAAGGCAAGGCTTCAAGCCTGTATTGTTAGTCTGATTGTTGTGGCTCAGTTTATATGAAGTCTTTATTAGAGCACTCTTCCATATTTATGTGTTCACTGAACTATCATATTATTTTAGACTCATTAAAGTGTTCATTCCTGTGGTCCACTACAAAACATATTGTGCAGTTTGGACAACATCCAATCTTTCTACTTGTTAGCTTCCATTATCTTTGCAGGTCTAATGGTGTTTGGGCTCAAGGTTAAGATTTTGTGGTTACAATCTGTTGCTTTATGTTAAGAATGGTGTGTGTAGGAAGCTTGAGGGGAGTTAATCTCCTGACTGATTTTTTTTTTCCGAAGAATTTGTAATACTTTATGCTGTTTGGTGGTGAAATTAAAAACCTGTCATGCATGGACGTTAAAGATTTGTGTTAAGTTACTATCCTTGTTCATACAAGTGTTCCAAGTGTTCCATTTAAATACAATTTTTAAATTTTAGATGAATCTTAAAAACTACTCTTCTCATATCTAAGATTGTAACATAGGAACTAGGAAAAAAATCTAAATGTGTTGGTTAGTTTTCTTAAGAAATTTATTTTAATTCATAAGAATGTTCTTGTATTATTTTTTTAATGTTGGGTTTAATTGTCCTGTTGGTGGGTTTTAACAAGCCTTCTACTTGTATGTTTTATGTACGGTCATATTTTTAAAATTTTTTTGCTTAACTAGGGAGGTAGAGAAAAAAATTGAGGTAAGATAGTCTTCTTGTTGCTCAGAACTTTTGGTAGAAGTATTATGAGAATTTTAAAATTAACTTTTGATCTTAAAATCTTGAAAATAATTGTATCCCTCTGTCTTTTGAAGCATCAAGAATTACCTATTTTGTGTATTTTCTACAAGAAAAAATAGTAAACCCCTATCCATTTGCTAGACAGGGCCCTTTTAGAAAAATGTATAACAATGTATTAAATGATTACCTGATGACTTCCCTATGGTTTTTGAAGTGAATGTGGTTATTCTTTGTGGTTTAGAAAAAAAGCATGTAACATGAAATTTCCCACCTTAGTCATTTCTAAGTCTAATAGTGTTAAGTATATTCACATTATTGTGTGACCACTATCCAGAAGATTTTGGTCTTGCAATACTGAAATTCTATTACCATTAA